AATGGGGGTAGGGTGGGGGGAGTAGCAAAGTGAAGAGTGGACTGCTTCAGTGAAGCTGCTAACCTTGAATTATGCAATCGGAAAAACGGCTCTTGCCAAAATACAATTCTAACGGAGTTCAGAGTACCGTCAGTGCTTGCCAAATACCCCAGCCAAAAGGATGTCTCAAAGAGGGGGAGGAGGGAACCATTGCCATATGCCCAGCATTCACAGTATTCTGGAAGAACTGTGGAGTCCTTCAGGAGTGGAGGTGTGTTCATGGTCTCAGGTGCACCCTGAGCACTGGTACCATGATCCAGTACAAGGTGGGAGCGGTGAGGCTGGAGGGGAGTAGGTAAATATATCAGAATGTCTTTATTTCTCAGACCTTCCAAGGTTTTGCTTCACTCTTGTGTAGTAGTGGGAGGAGTTCTGGCAAACATGGTCAGGCTGTTCTACATATGTTTTGACTCTTCTTGTTTTATGTTTCTTCTATGAAAGAGACTGCAACCAAGTTCTTGTCATTTTTAGATCAATGTTTTGTTAAACTATGACAGCTATCCGTGACAGAGAGCCAAGTAACTTTTGCAGCTGACCACAAAACTGAGTCTGACTTGTGGTGCTTAGTCATTTTTTATATATTTTTTTCTACATGACACATTCCATGTGTGTATGTGTTTTTCATTGTTCTTTTAAATATAATTAGAACATTTCTAGGAGCTGTGGTACAAATCAGTCTTCTGTGACAGATGAATTTCTTTGATTAATAAAGTTTTAGGAACTTCTCATCACATTGTGGCTATTGATGAAACCTCTCTGTTTATACTTTGAACAATTGGGCTGTTGTGGGTTTGATTGCTCTCTACAGTATTATCTTCTCTGGTTTACCCATTAGAATTTTAAATGATCCAGTCAACAGAGTTCTTGCAGAGAACTCTATTAGGATAGAGTCTATCCTAATGTCTATCCATTAGGATAGACATTTCACTTCTGCTGAAGTCCTTCATAGAGAAAAAAGATGTTTATAGGATGTCTTTCAGCCTTCTGAGGTCTGGTACAAAATTCAGAAATTTAGAAGGAAAATAATCACGTCATCTTTAGCGAGATTCCTGTGTTTATTCTCCTGCAAGAGCAGAAGTGTTCCTTGGTGTTTGTTTTCACTGCTTTGTCCTGTCTGATTTTTGGCGGGTCTCACAAGCAGTTCTTCACACCACTTTCCTAGGTTTGGACCAACCTTGCCTGCTCTCTCTGTAAATATTGGGGCTAGGCTGCAGTAGATGTGACTTGTGCATTTTACACAGGATAAATAGCATTTCATACCTGAAGCAAAGGGGTGTTCTTCTGAACCCACCTGTTATCACTGGATGGTGCCTCAGCTTTACACAGTGGAGTGGTGGCAGTTTTGAGAACATGTAATTTGCTGTTGAATTAAGATAGTGATAATAAATAGATCCTAGTTTTATATAAACTTTAAATCATTGTGAAATTCTTGTCTGAAGTTCTTATGTAGGTGTCCGTGTTGGGGGGGTTGGAACTAGTTGATCTTTAAGGTCTCTTCCAACCCAAACCTTTCTGTGGTTCTGTGAGAGGAGGCTGGGATAGCAATGTCAGCAGGTTGCCAGTTTATTTGGGATCAGGGAAGAAAAAGGTTTCTCCTTTGTTTCTTTGGAGGTTCCATAAATACTTCCTCCATAAACTGGAAGACTCTGTAGGAAAGGTAGGGAGGTTCTTCCATCAAAAGAAAAGCAGTAAGTCATCAACCAACTGCTTTCAAGCAAAACAACATGGGAATGTTGCTTAGCCCCTTTTGAATATTTTGTAATTATAAAAGTGTTTCTGTACGTCAGAATTGGGGAAAATAAGCTGCAGGGTGTTTAATGGAAAGAGCATAGGGCATGAAATCACAATGCTGCTTATGTATTGTCAGGCTTTTGCATCCTGCCAGGGTGTTGCTGATCTCTTTCTGCTCTCCTAATTCTGTTTTTAGGGGGTTTTTGGGTGGATGGTTTTTGATGTTTGTTTTTTTTCTTTTAATGCTTAGGTTGGAAGGTATCTTAAAGATCATCTATTTGCAACTCCCCTGCCATGAGCAGGGGCACCTTCCGCTAGACCAGGTTGCTCAGAGCTCCATTTAAACTGTCCTTGAACACTTCCAGGGATGGGACATCCACAGTTTCTCTGGGCAACCTGTGCCAGTGCCTCACCACCCTCACAGTAAAGAATTTCTTCCTAATATCCAATCTAAACCTACTCTCTCTCAGTTTGAAACCATTCCCCTTTGTCCTGTCACTCCAGGCCCTTCTAAATTGTCTCTCTCCATCTTTTTTGTAGGCTCCCTTCAGGTACTGGAAGGCCACAATTAGGTCACTGCAAAGCCTTCTCTTTTCCTTGTTGAACAATCCCAACTCTCATAGCCTTTCCTCATAGGAAAAGTGCAGTTGCAGAGGCTCAGGAAAGAACAGACTTATTAATGCCTTTATACTTAAACATTTCTAAGTATCAGTACAGAAAAGTACAACTGACTGCTTTGACTTCCTCTGTTTCAACAGCAACGTCATGGAGAAGGTCTTTTTAGCTGCCACTTTATCACTGCTGATTGAATTATATTGTCATTCCCTACGTTGAAGCAGCAGGGAGTAAAATTGTCCCTGTGTTAGAAGGGTGGTCTCCCCACTCACCCGTGTTTCAGTTCTCCAGAGAACCATCTCCAAGCACGGGGCCGTGCAGAGCATCCCAGGAGCTCAGCACTCATCTGGCATTCCCTCTCAGCCCCTCTTCCATCATGCCTGTGCTCTCTCACTTCACCTGATGTGGCTGTACCTCAAAATACAAAACTTTGCCTAAGATGGATAGCGGCAGAGCATCTGTAGGCTTGTTAAGTCAGACTCTGATAAACGAGCCGCACGCGGTGCGTACCTTGCAGACAGCATGCCGGAGTATTCGCTGACCTTAAGACTCAATCAGATCGTGTCGACGGAGTGTGGTTCTGAATGTAACTGCCTCCGACTTCAAGAGCTGCGTTTATCGCATAAAGGAAAAGCTGTTAAGCCTGTGCCCTTTGCGCTCTCAGCTCTGTTTCTCTAAGAGGTTTATGCGTGATTCCAGAAAAGTCTGCAACAGAATAACTCCCCTCCCCCTTGATATACCCAAAAAGAGAAAAGGTTCTTTTACATTTTAGGTTGGTGGCGGCGTTTTAAAATGATTTCTGACATAAAAATTGTTGAACTCTAGCACTGTGAAGTTGATGGTAAATAGATTTTTTTTCCCCCCTGAGGAAAAACTGTTGATTTCCATGATATATCTGTGATCCATTTGGAAGAAGTACGAGGTCAACCTACTCCTGACTTTCTGACTGCTGACAGGTTGCTTTGGAAATGAGAGCCGAGTTAAAACCAATAGATCAAAGAGTTTGGTAAAGCTAAATGCCTGAATAGTTCAGGTGCTTATTCGAAGCTTCTCCAAGCTTTCTGGTTCTCTGTGCCTGGTAGTGTTATGGAAACCCTTTTGCTTGTGATAGGCTGACTCTGCTGCATGAGCTTTTCCTGAAAAAACCAAGAGGATAACTCATCTTGCACACTTCCCCTGGTGATGCGTCAGGGTATAGACAGAGCACCAGGAGTGCGAAAGGGATCTACAACAAAAATGAATGTGAGGAGTAGGAAAGTTAACCTCATATTCCATAAACTCTGTGAGCATACAAAGTTGAGCAGATTAGCCTTGTTTTTAACACTCTCGAGAAAATCTTTCTTCAATGACTTTCATGAATTTGAACCATTCTTTGAATTGCAGATGCAGGGACATCACATCGCAGGAAGCATTTCTGTATTCGCATTGTTCTCTGTTCTGTTTTCTTCTGTAACATAACCCAGTGACATTATTAGGCTACATAGAAGTTGCAAAGTCTCTGGATGCCATGTGAAATCTGAACGTTTTTTTTTAGTTTATTGATCTTTTACAGTCATCAGGAGTGGAACAGAGCAAGGAAACAGTGATCTTTCTTTCAGGAAGAAACTCAAAAGAATTTTTTCGACTGGAGCCACTTTATTATCATGCTGTATCATGTCATTTTCTTAGCTTTGCAAAAGGCACAGTGCCTAACATTTTGAAATGTTAGTATTGCTTCCCTGAAAGATTTATTTTTAAACATATGATTGTCAGGAAGATAGAATGTTTATGAGCAAAAGTCATTGGGAAAACAAAAACAGTTGGAAAATGGAACACCTTTGTATTTGTAAAGTCAAACAATTCAGGGGGAAGCGAGGTGTTTTGAAGAGAACATTGGAATTAATGGGCCTGGCATGTTGTTCTGGCAATGTCTTTAGACACCACTGCAGCCTGACAGATTAATTGGCAGCACACACTAGCCTGTTGCAATCCAGGGTTCACAGTTAGTTCTGACTAGATGAATGACGGACGGGGTGTTAGTAGGGTTGGGCAAAACAGTCTGGACGAGAACACAAACTGCTGCCCAAGTATCGTGCTTAATTCAGGCTGACCCTTTCCCAAGGCCTGAATAAGTTTGAACTGCAGGGTGTTTTTTTTCCCTATGGGCTGCTTCCTAAAATACAGCTTTAAAAGAAAAAAAAAAAAAAGGGAAAGTCACGCATGTCCCTGCACTTTGATTGCAGGCTGGAAATAGAGTAAAACAATAAATACATTGCAAAAGAGTGTGTATCATCTAAACTTCGAATCCAGCTTTGCAGTCCCAGGGACATAGAGAGTTGAAATATTCTTCAGATGTGCAGCCAATTTTATCATGCCGAGCTAACCAATCTTTTCAACACTATGGAGTTTGCTCATCACTAGCTAATAAGCAAGTTTTAAAAAGGACTTTACGGTAGAGTCTGCAACCATATCTCTTCCAGAAAAAACATTATTATGTATTGTTAAATACCTGGCTCAGTAAACTGTTGTGAATGGTTATCCAGCTTCCCTATCAACCTTCTAAATTACATATGAACTTTGCGGTTGCAACGTTTAATTATTTTCCTGATCCAAATCCCGTCATCTTGCCCATATAGGACAAAACAACACTGGAGACCCTGACTCAGCAGTTGGCAGTAAAACAGAGCGAAGACGGAAAGTTTAGCCACGCAATGATGGATTTCAACATGAGTGGAGATTCTGACGGTCAGTACAAATGGCTTATCCCAATTTCCAGGTTTGTGTGTGCGTATCAGTGGGATCTGGGGGAGAATCCAAGTGCTTCGGAGGCCTGTGAGCAGTTAGCAGTAAGCGGCTACGAAAGAAGGCAGGAAAAAGTGATTCATCATGGGGCGTTTTAAGTCTGGAGGTTGATTTTTAGCCTTTCCTCTGTATGCTGAAGGTCTCAAGAAGGGACCAAGAATGTATTTCTCATAGTAAAAGGGGCTAAAGAGGGCAAATATATGTGTTATAAGTGAGATCACGGAGGGAATCCCTGAAGTATAGACCTGATCCTCCATAAGTGTTGCGTGCTCTGAATCTGTGGGAACTTTATTGGTTTGATAAAGCAAGCATAATGTTTGTTTCTCTGCTATTGCATATATTGTTATGGAGATGTCAGCACAAAAGCAGGCAGATATGGAAGTTTTTTTTTGCTAGTTAGAGAATTGCTTAAGAAGAAATGCTTGATGTTGCCGTATATTACTCCCTTTCTCTCACAAAAAAGGTAGAAGATGGGTAACATATGCATTCTCTAAGCAAGAAAGGAAGAAAGTAAAAAGTAAATCTACATTGATAAATATAGGCTTTATGTTATTGAACAGTAAAAGATGTTTTAGAAAAGCTGTTTAATGCTTTGTATTGAAAAAAAAAGTCTAAACTCTTCATCAAGTCTATACGATGTGACACAGAATTAACAGAATAATTAAACTAGACAATATACAATGTATTTAACATTAACCTATTATGAACATGGACTCATTGAATGTGCAGCACCTGACATGGGTTACTAAAGGCAGAGGTAGCTGCATAATGAAAAACGAGCTGGGAATGTTTTTCTCTTTCTTTTTAGGAAGTGCAGGAGTCTCAGAGTCTCGAATTTATCGGGAATCCAGAGGGCGTGGTAGCAATGAACCCCATATCAAACGCCCAATGAACGCATTCATGGTGTGGGCTAAAGACGAACGGAGGAAGATCCTTCAAGCCTTCCCTGACATGCACAACTCCAACATCAGCAAGATATTAGGTAAGAGTGATAGAACACTGTTCTTTCAGAGCAAAACTCAAAAATATTTTTAATTAATAGAGCCGAGCACCTGAAACGACAGAAGTGCTGTCTCTCTGTTGTGCAGCTTCATCACTGCACCAAGGACAACAGTGATATGAGCTTCCACTGTGCTACCCAGCAGTATGCATTAAGCATAACCTGACATCTTCTTGTGTCTTTGTAACTACTGAGATTGTAGTGGTAATTTTGGTTTGAAAACATGAACTGAATAGACAAAAACAGTTCATTTCATTAGACTGTTGAACAAGCACAAAATAATTGCTGTCATTTATTTGTCCACATATTTCATCTATATAGTTTCTCTGAGGTAGCACACTACACTATTCTATTTGTGCCATAGAACTTTCTGTCTCCACTTGGACATCAAGCTGCTGAGCACAACTCTTTGAGTGTGACCATCCAGCCAATTATTTATCCACCAAGGGGTCCATAAATCAAATCCACGTCTTCCCAGTTTAGAGATAAGGGTGTCATGTGGGACAGTGTCAAATGCTTTGCGCAAGTCCAGGTAGATGATGTTGGTCACTCTTCCCTTGTCCAGCAGCAGTGTAACCCCGGTTCACCTGTCAGTTCCCTCAGGACCTGCAGATGCATCTCAGGACCCGTGGACATGCAGGTCCCATGGACTTGTGCACCTTTAGGTTCTCGAATTGAGTCTTCTACAGTGGGTGGTTTTTCATTCTCTCATAGTCTGATAAGAACCCTGAAATTAAGAAAAAAAGAAACATTGGATCTAGTTTCCATATCTTCTGCTCTTTACATTCCAAGCAATATTTGTGATGAATGTCATCTACTGAATCTCATGCCATAGTCTTGCAGCTTTTCACTACTTGCTCAGATTCTCAGTACCATGTTCTGTCCAAAGTCACCCCTCTGTGACATGCTGAATGATAAAGCAGGTGACTAATAAGGCTCTCTGAGGCCCACGAATCACTGTTCTGGAAAAAAAAAAAATAGAAAGAAAAAATTAGAGATGTTGAATTTTTACTGAGAAAAACTGTTACAGGACCTAAACACCCCTCAGGCCAGTGGCTAAACAGAGAACATGTTTACCTGGGCTGCAGGTCTCAGTGGTTTTGCAGACTACTCAAGAAATGTAATGGCAGCATTAACCAGCTGCAGGTCTGGTAAATAGGCTGAGTTTAGACTGGTCAGAGGTTTGAGGCTTATGTTGATGAGAGTGGTATTATGAAAAGTTAGCAGGGGGCAAGTGGAAATGAGATAAATTGGTTGGAGTGGCAGAATGTATTGCTGTGGATGGCAGATGTGATGATATTAACCCATGATTTAAAGGGTGGCACAAGATGATTAGATTAGTTATGGGAACAGGATTAGAAGGCTAAATTGGTTATGTTGATGGTAAAATAACCTTATACTGGTTAAAAGGGATTATACTGGTCAGAGGTGTATGATGTGATTAGCCAGAGGACAGGGCAGTAATAGTTTTGGTCTGTTTCTAAATTGAGAGTAGACCTGGTTAAACCTGTTTTTAAATAATCAGCTTCAGAAATCTGCAAGATCATTCTGAATGGCCCTTTTCATATAGAAAGTACAAAGAGAGCTTGATGTTTTCCCTCTTAACTGATTGTTTTGGATAACAACCTCCGACAGCACGCTGCTAATTCATTCTGCTTAAAACAGGCGCTTGAGCTGGGCTGACATTTTACGCAGTCTCTGGGGATCCTGGTTGACATTTTAAAGGGCTTCTAAGCATTTTATAATACCCTAAAATCTGGTTTTAATAAGCCATTCTGCTGAAATTGTTAACATAAGGAATCACCTTTTACTATTTGGCACTAGATCAGGAAGATATGGGGACATCTTTTTCTGATTAGATATACAGTAGTTGGAGTAAAATGTGCAAATTCATTACAGATCCTGTTGAGGTGACAGACAGTATAGCTGACTCCAAACTCTTTCTGTTTTGCTGCCAGATATGGGGAAAAGCAAGGTCTGAGGCAGTGAGAGATGATGTTTCTATTTCTTTCCAGCATCACATTTAATTTTTTCATTCTACTTCTGCAACGGGGAGGGATGTCCTGACGTCTTCCTTCTTGACAGAAACGTTACAAAGGTCTTCCCTCAACTGCAAAAGGCCAGTCTTTTGAAGTCAGCAGGGAGCTGTCTGTTAACTGGCGTAGGGTGAGCAACTAGAAGCTTACAGTTCAGCCAGGTATCAGGGTCTCCTTATTAGAAAGCCACAATTTTCCCTTCCCATTTTTCCAGCAGTACTGCTACACATTGAGGTCAGAGAGCTCATTGTCACAGAGAGCAGCTTAGATAGAGTTCTCACTGATCGAGGGTCATTTTTATAGTAAAATGAAAGGAGGTGCCCTTCCCAGCACTAGAATTCTCTAGGGATTATGTTTGACACTGTGGTATTATGTTTTGAGCATAAAAATTAGATACACGGATTTGTCACTAAATTCATCTGTGCATACGTTTGTCATCCATCTGTTCATTGCAACTTAAACTTGCAGATAATGATTTTTTTAGTAAATTGTTAAAAAAGTGCTAAAGTGGGTCTGCTGGACCCTATCAATTTAATAATGCATTGTTTAGATCTCTTTGTAAATATTTTAATTAATTTCACTGAGAAATCTACATGAAGATATTAGGAAACAGTGAAGTTAAACACTGCCTTCAGAAATTCTCTCGGGATGTGTAAGTGTGTGAATACAAACCTATACACATACCTATACATTATACAAATGTTTGTGTATGTGAGGGTATTTATTAAACATAAAATCAGCCTGAATCAGGTACTCCGACTGAAAAATGTCAGTCTGATGGACTAAAAGTTAGAGAATATTGCAAACAGCTGAAAATTCTTATCAGAGAAACTTGGCTTAAAATCAGCGATAAGCAGAGCTCTGAACATGCAGGCAGAGCTCTGAATATGCTCAGGTGTGTGCCTGAGCACAAGTGTCTGTGCATACATGAGGGCATCTCATTTCTGCCCTGGGTTCTAATATTTGACCTCTCCAGATGTGTTCACAGTCCCACACAGCTGTGTGAGCACAGCTCTAACTGCCCTACCTCACTTTGGGGGCAGAAGCCATGCTTGGTACTGAAGTCTTGTAAATGTTTGGGGTTTTTTTTCCCCTAAATATTTCAGCCAGCAGATCAGAGAGAATTGTGCAAGAATCTTGCTTGTCATTATGTATTCATCCAGGGAGGGGAATGGGTTCTTGTTTTCATAGTCAAGGAGAAAGCCTTGCATACTTGACCCACTCAAAGCTTTCCAACACAGATGGTGAGCGGAAAGCTCACCCAAGAGTGTAAATCTTCCCTTAAAAAGAGAGATTTTTCAAGATTCTTCGATCATACCTTGTTTGGGCTTGGGTTTGGCATTGTACATAGGTACCCGTGCCTGCCTGTGTGTGTTTACAGACGCATAAAACAATGACAGATTAAACTATTACAAATGTATTTCATCCAAACATAAGGTATTCTTAACCAGTTTTAGTATGTTGATTGGCAGTACTCATTCATAGCTTGAGCTGTGGCTTCAAATTCAAAGATCAGAGTTATGTATTCTTCAAACTTCAAAAATTTCAGATTAAGACCAGTCAGAGAGCTGGTTGGACTATGTGTGTGACTAAGAAGGGAAAATGATAAAATGTACATAACAAGGGTTTATCAACAGAAAATGTGCCCTTTTTTAAAATTTGATGACATTGTTTGTTAAATTATGTATGATACTTCAAAACATACTAGTAAATTATATTTAGTATATTTTGTAAAAACACTAAAGTCATAGAGGAGGTATCACTGCAGAAGGCAGCTATTAAAAATTTTCTAGGAAGAGAGGTGAAACTGCCAGGATTTTTGTTGTTTTCAATTTGCAGATCAGGAAGGGAAAACATTACAAATGACATTTATGTATAAATATTGTATGTGTAACTGTATGTACCAGTGTTATGCATCAAAATTTAACTTTTTATGGCCCTGATCCTGCAAAGACTTGTGTGTTTGCCTAACTTCACCCACTATTTACAGATCTTTTCACATTAAGAGGTAGGAATCTGCCTGCCCAGATCTGAGTGTAGGATTGCAGCAAGTGAACTAACACAGCAGAAGAGGAACCGTGCTGGAATAGAGCAGTTTCATGGCAATTCTGCAACAACTGCCTTCAGTTTCTACCTTTCTGTCCACCTGTCTATCTCAGAATATGTCTGAGTTCCTACACTGCAGATCCGTTCACAGCATATAAAGCAAATGTCAGTATTTGTTTAAAGACTGAGGGTTTCAACTTTTCTATTCATAAATAAAAACTGATTCAGCAGCAGGAAAAGAAAAAAACTGATTCAGCAGCAGGGGCAGGTTTTCTAAGGCACTAGGATTTCAGTAGGTCTGTGATTAGAGGACTCTAGTTTTAGATTAGCTGCTATGATTTTCTTTGTATGCTGAAACACCAGTGTGCCAGTGTCTGTGAGGTAGAATTTGAAAGCAGAACCACATCTGGGCATCTTCCAGTGGAGCCTGCATGTTTTATCCTGAACTCTTAACATCGTTCAACACAGGCCTGATCTATGTTTCCATCTTCTGCAGCATTAGGAGGTGTGCAGTGCTTTGGCAATCTCCACATGTTTACCACTGTGTCATTCAGCCCAAAATCTAGGAGGTACTGTATGTGGAAAGTTGGTGTCAATTTTTCTAGCCACTCTCTTTGCCAGAAAAAGCTTGGAATAATTTCTCTGCGGGAGACAAGGCTGCTGACTGCGATTCTGTCCGCAGAGCTTTGCTGCTCTGTGTAATACAGAGCACAGCCACAGATCCCCATGTACAGACACTACCTCAGTATGACATACGAAGAACCGTGCAGGAGTTTCAGTCCAAATCCTAGAAGCCACCTAGTCGTGCTGGTATGGTGTTGTGCCTAAGCTAATAACAATGCCATTAAACTGCTTCCCATTCCAGGACTAGCTGGGGGATCTCTGCATGTTACGTGTTGTAAATATCGTGACAAATGACAGTTTTGACTCCAAATCAGTGCTTGTTAAGAGATGTCCATTGTCTTCAGAATGAAGGCGTCGCTGGTTTACAAGTCACTTATCTCTAGGTGCGAGGTCAAGCTCTACCAGCCCTTTATTCCATGCTGCAGTTTGGGCTTCTGGAGAAAAGATTCAAAGAGCAATGGGGGAAATGGTGTCAGTAATCAGAAGAGGCCTTTCTAGAGTGAATAAAACTGTTTTCTTTCCTGGGAAGGGGTAACTGTGCTCTCTGTATTGCCAGTCTTGGGGGCACAGTGAGCTAAGACCAGCCTGAGTAATAGCATGAGCTAAGTACAGTATGAGTAACCATAAAAACGAAGAACAAGAGAAAGTCAAGTATGAGATATGACATTATGAACCCATTACATTGACAAACTATTCAAACTTTTTTTTCCAATGGGAAAATTGACTATTTTCCAATAAAGTTTTCCTTCTAGGCCACATGTTTCACAGCTTGGATCATTCCTGTTATTTGAAATGTATCTTAGCCTGAAGCACTTTTGTATTTCATGGGAAAATAAAATAGGGTATCTGATTCCAGAAGTTTTACTTTCAGCTCTCATATTTATGTCCTTTAAGAAATATTAGTTTATAACTTCCAGGAGGTATTCGAAAACAGTTGCAAAGTCCTCATTATATGCCTAAACTCTATTATCCACATTAACATAGGCAGAAAACAAGACTGCCAGCAATGAAGCCGTAGTGCAACTCTGCACAGAGGTGTGCCAGTATCCCAGTGCTCTTCCCTTCATGACACACACTAAATTCCATAAGTTGGAGCTGGCAGCATTCCCCAGGACTTGGTCTTGGAGTTAAAACCCTGATGAGACATATGGGATAGTTTATAGCTTTTAGAGGCATTGCTTCAGGCTCTTTGCAGGCTCCTGTACCTGACTGCATAGCATTTACGATCACTTCGTATTCTACTTCTCACAAACCTGGAAGCCAGAAAGATGCTGTGTTTGTCATGAACAGTTAAGCTGTGGACATGAGCTGTCCCACGTTCATGCCTTGATCCAGCCGTGGTGGATCACGGTGACTAGATGGCAGCACAGGAGTGGTGCCTCCTCTGGACAGGAGGTGAAAACAGGCCCATGGCCAAGTAAAAGTGTGGGGACGTAGCAGAGCAGACTCTGTGTATCTAAGCGGTCTTTGGACATTCCTCTAAAATATGCGACTTTGTTTTCTAAAACAAAGTGTCAGGGATTGCCCATTATCAGGATAATGGTTTTGCTTCCCACATGAAAGGCATTATAATGTAGATAAATTTCAATAAAATATTAAGTCAAAAATTCAAGTGCCATCTCTCTGCCTCCTGGCCATAACCAAGAGGTTTACCAGTAAAATACAAACAAGACCTGACCCCTGTCTAGAAGCTCTGACAGATTCCCAGCCCAAAGCGATATGACCGTAGGTATCTTGTTCTGGGTGACCTACTTGTTTCTCTGCCTTTCAGTGTTTGGGGATGAGTAGAATCTCATTTTTTTTTTTTTATTTTTTTTTTTTTATTTTTTTTTTTTTTTTTTTTTTTTCCCTTGGTGACAGGATCTCGCTGGAAAGCTATGACAAACCTAGAGAAGCAGCCATACTATGAGGAGCAGGCCCGACTCAGCAAACAGCACCTGGAGAAATACCCAGACTACAAATACAAGCCAAGGCCGAAGCGTACCTGCCTTGTAGATGGCAAAAAACTACGCATTGGCGAGTACAAGGCTATCATGCGCAACAGACGCCAGGAGATGAGGCAGTATTTTAATGTTGGGTATGGGACCTTTAAAAACTACTGCTCTTTTCATTAAAAAAAAAAAAAAAAAAAAAAAATTCAGGGAGAATTGTTAATTCAGTGCGGTAAATGTTATCGTTTATTGGCAGGAACATTAGACGTTGCCAGCAGAAAATGAAGCTTAAACTTTATAACAACGTGTTCCAGGCGGAAGTTAGGCAGTTAGGGATCTTTTCGTTGGCTCTGCTATATGCTCATCTTAAAGCTTCAGCCAAGTGTCTCGTTTCCACTCTGATCATGAAAAAAAAAAAAACCTTAAGATTTTCCAATGAAACATAAGTCTTCTATAATAAAGCCTTATAACTATTACTTTATTATGAGGCCTGAGAGAGTATATCTGAATGAATCTGTGGTAGTGCCTCGTGATCCAAAAGCCAAAATTACAAGTTTGCATTCAGTATGATCTGTGACAAGTGGTTTGCAGAAAGGACTGCTGAACACACTTTATTTGAGCTGGAATGTGGACTTGGCTCAGTTAATTCATATCAGGCATGAAGTTGTCTGCGTTGTTCGTTGTGACAGCATTTGTTATAATAGGGAGTGTCTTATAGCAGTAAGCTAAATGCTTTGTGTTGAGCATAAATTTTAAGAAGACCAGTTCTGATAAACAGGTAATAGATCAGCTTGATATGATTAGATTAATATCTGCCTAGAAGAGTAGCATGTATTTGCCTTCTGCAGAGAAGGAAACCTTCCTTGGTTTTGGCTGCAGCCAATCAAAAAGAATTGGAAGTAATCAAATATTCCACAGTATTTCTATATTCACCCCTGAAAAGTAAAAGCCTACACAGTGGTTTTAAAAAGAGCAAAAGCAGCAACAAGAGCGACCCTCTGGAATAATGAAATTTGTGTTCTGTTCATCTGAATTTTGAATCCTTTTAATGTTAACTGAGTAGCACATCTCTCTAGTTAATTGCTAGAAGTAGCAATAAAGGAGAGAATATCTGTCCAGCAACTGCTAAGTGTCATCAGACTGTGTTTAAAACAGCTACAGTGTGCATTGTTATAATAAGCCGCTCAGCAGAGAAATTTGAGCTGCTTAACCCTGTGGTGCTGGCAGGTCCAGTGATCCCAGTGGTAAGCACTGAAACAAACACAGGGAAGTCAGCCAACATTTGGCATCAAGAGATTAAAAAAAGAGGAGGGGGCCTTCTGGAAAAAGAATAGGTGGCAACAGAGCCCCCAAAACACTGCTTATCTGGTTAACATGCATGCCTCATCATGGGAAAAAAAATTAACCTTGTAACATTCTGCTTACTGTTTAGCTTTCCAAACAAGGCTGACATTGAAATCAAGACATTTCTGGAGATAATTTGCACTGGGGCATAGGGGCATAGAACCTGGGGTGAAATCTCTATAGAAGCTACTGACAAAGTGACCCATGGCTGCAGTGGGGTCAGTGTGTGATGCCAGCAGTCATGACACTACAGTTACGTTCCTGGTTTTAGTTCCCCATCTGTTGCATCTCCTAGTACAGGTCATTTAGGGCAAACTTCTGAACACCAGTCCAGCTCCTGCCTGGGCACCACAATAAGTGATTTGGTTTACAGGAGCTGTGGCTGTGCTGGCTGCTGGGGCATGCTGAAGGCATCACGATGGGAAGGACTTTTTAAGGGTGTTTTTTAGTGCTTTCCTATCTCAGTGTCTTCATCTTCAGTGGGTGGCGTGGCAAGCTCACCTCACTGGACTGCTGAGAGCCCTTATACATTAGTATCTGAGGACTGCTGCAAGAACTTCTGGGCTGGACATCCTACAGAGGTGGAAAAATACCATTCTTAAATTATTTAATATTTGAAAAGCACTCTGAAAAGCACCATTTAAGTGCAAAGTGTTCCTATTGTTAAATATTAAAAGCAATTTAAGTGTGCTGAATCTTGTTGCAGAAATGCTGACTCCAGAAAACAAAAGTCTTCCTATTGAATTAAGAATAAAATGCAAATTAGATTCACTCCCTACTTTAAGAGCTGTATCTTCAGCTGAGACAACTTTGACTTGTTTCAGGAACACAGAAATAAGGGCTGTGTGGAGGGAGGCCTCACTCCAGATGCAGGCAGGAAGTATCTGAAAATGCAGCAGCGATTCCAAACAAATGTAAAGCTGTTTGGCAGTGGAAAGTCTTTCAGGATCACTGTACTGTGCGAGGCTTACTGTACAGCCAGGGCACAGGCAGGCAGGGGAACAGGGGAGGGCTTCATTCTTAATTAAGAATGTTCATCTCAAGAGACTCTGCCCTGTCTCCTGTGGCAAGGCTTTTCAGTGCAGATGGACACACCGCTGATGACATTACAATGTGCAGCATGTACTGAAGAGTATTACTGCAATGGAATTACTTCATGCAGCAAGGAAACAAAAGGAGCATGAATTTTAAACCTCTAGGCTTGTTGGGACTCTGAAGCTTCTCAGGGAAACAAACACTAGTATAACACAGCCAGTGTTCTTGATGCAAAGGGAATTTCTGTGGCCTGGAATAATTCTTCTTTCATTACTGCAGACAGGTTTCCAAGGCTTAGACGCTGTATAAAGGCATCCTGTAGAGGATTTTCTCAAATGCTCATGTTGCTTGCTTGCTTTTTATTTATTTTTAAATAATGCCTGCTTCCGTTTTAAGTCTGCCTTTTCCCAATTTTATCCATCTTCCTTCAAAGAGCCTGCTTTTCACAAGGGCCGCTCCCAGTGGAAAGTATCACATTCCAGTGGGAGGCCTTCAGTGATCAACCTGTAAACCCATGCTGGCCCCAGAGAGCTCACTGTTCCTCTCCTAATAGTAGCCAGGTCTCTGAGTGAGTGTGGAGTAAGCATTGTCTCTTTGGAGAGTCCTGCCTTGCTTTCTCCTCATCCGTTGGTATTTTCCCACAGCACCTCCCCATTCCTGTGCAATTTACCCAGTCCTTCCTCCATCTCTGCTGCTGGCAATGTGTTACCTTTATGTCTAGTCCTGCCCAAAGAATGGATTATTTAAAAGGATTTTCAAAACACATGGGTTTTAAGTTGGACCAGAGTTGCAAGGAAGTTTATTTTTGACTGGCAACTCATGGGACACCCAGTTGACCCAGAAAAGAAGTTTACCTCACAAGCAGGCAAGCTGGAACTAGTGCAGCTACAGCTAGAGATGTTTACAGAGGGTTTTTTTTGTCAGTGAAGTTGGTTTGGACTTGATGTTCATTTCTAGAGCATCAGTTGATGATAGAATATTGATATAAAGGCTGTCTTGCATGGACCATCTAGGGACTTTCTCTGCATGCCCAAGAATATATGCTACAGGCTTGCAAATTGCTGTTGATCTTGCCCTCCCTTTACTCCTTCCAGTACTCAAACATCCTTTTGCTTTTTCTCCGTGGCAGGCAACAAGCACAGATCCCCATTGCCACCGCGGGCGTAGTTTACCCAGGAGCCATTGCCATGGCGGGAATGCCTTCCCCACATCTGCCCTCGGAGCACTCGAGCGTGTCCAGCAGCCCGGAGCCCGGGATGCCCGTCATCCAGAGCACTTACGGCATCAAAGGCGAGGAGCCTCATATCAAGGAGGAGATGCAGACCGACGACGTCAATGGAGAAATCTACGATGAATACGATGAGGAGGAGGATGACCCCGATGCGGACTATGGCAGTGACAGTGAAAATCACATTGCGGGGCAAGCCAACTGATCGGGGTCCAAGTATCTCGCGACCTACAGGACTTCAAGGAGAAAAGAAAAAACATAAATAAAGCCCCATCTGGTTTATCCTTGCCAGTGGCCAAGCACATTAACTTTCTCATACACTGACTGTTACTTTAACTGTTAGTCTTAACTAGTTGGGACATCAGCTGACTAATAGACATCAGCCTGCATCAGAAGAAAAAAGGCTCAGAAGAAAGGAAACAAAGACAACGACGACAACAACAACAGAATGATATAAGCTATGGGTAAAATAATGCCAGTAATTCAGCTGCTATACCCAAGCACTGAAGTCTTACCCGTCGACCTTTTATTATTATTATTTTTTTTTCAAATAAACTTTATGGCTGTTTGTTCTACAATGTTCTAGAAATTCTCACTCAGGTACACAGTGCCAACAAGTGGCTTGTGAATGTGTTTTGTTGTTTTGTGCTACAGTTTAAAGAGAAATAATTTTTTTTTTTTTTTTTGGTAATGCACCTGACAGGAAAAGAAAAAAAGATAAAATTCCTTTTAACCCCCCTCTGTCTCCTCCTCCCCCTCCTCCCTGTCAAATCTGGGTCAGAAGTGTGTGTGTGTGCGCGTGTGTGTGTGTGCCTGTGCGCGTGGCTGGCAAGGAGGGAAGTGGGGAGTCTGTTTCTGTTAACCCCAACAAGCAATTATTTCCTTTCAAGAGAGGACTTCTCTTCATCAGTTGCACACCATACTGAGTCTTTGAGCAAGTGCCAAATTTGTACTAAAGCGCTGAACTAGTCCAATTTGCTTTTTTTTAGGTTGCTCTCTTCTTGTTTTGTTTTTCTTTTGCTTTTTCTTTGCTTTCTGCTCTGTCTTAAGTTAGGACAGTGTTGTATCTTAGACAATCCCTCGAAGAACCTGATATACCAGCAGCTGGTGAGATTAGACATATATTTTTGGTTTTGGTTTTGCTTTTTAAAGGAAACTGTAGGTGCCGTTCTCAGGTGAAAAAAGAGAGAGAGACATAAGAAATTTAGAGAAAAAATATTTTATGGTCTTGGATTTTCATGTGTGCGTGTTTATGGTACTAATAAGAATAATCTTGGACTATTGTGAGCAAAAAGCATGTTCCAGAATGAAGTCCTGCACCCTCCAAATGACTTGGTCTGTAAGGAGCCTTTGCTTTTAGTTTACACTTCAAGTGGCATAATAAATGACATAAAAAAGGCTTGTCCAAAATGTGGCTTGTTCTGCACAGGACAGGGCAACTGGAAATGTTACTTCCTCGCTGAGCATGATTAGGTTAACACCAACCATGTCCAGTTTTGATGAACTCATACCTTCAGGGTGACTGAGTATTGATTTCTGATTCAAAAGGCAATTTTTTTTTAACTGACTTTTTTTTCTCCTTTGCATTGGCAGAAATCCTTTTTTTTTTTTGTCTGTGGGATGTTTGTGTAGGAAGGAAGACTAATAGCTACGAAGAGATTTCCATATTCAAAGTGGGCACGTAAGAACCCAAACCTTTTGTGGTGCCGAGTTTCCCCAGCTGCTGCCTCTCACAACCGAAAAATTACTCTCCTGCGCTAAAATATTTTCAGAGTTGTTCTAGAGCACTTAGATATGTTGCTTGTGCAGTTTTGTCTTCCTTGGGCAACGACAACCAGGTGAGGAAGGTGGAATTACACAAGTCTAATCCTGAGCAGAAGTTTGCATTTCTGATAATGTAATTGAATGTCATGCTTTATTTTGGGGGGGGGGAAAGAATATAAATATAAATTAATTAGAGTTTCTTTTCATCTCCTCACTGTAATATTCCTGTAGGAGAAGAGGACCCTGGTTTGTGTAGCAAGACAGAAGCATTAGATAAACTGACCAACCAACCATAAATACTACTCCAAATTTCAAACAGCAGCTATCCCAGAGCTGCTCTGTTGCCTGTAAAGGAAAGTCTTAGGATCATACTGAGGCAAAAGCCTTCCTCTGAGTTGGTTTTCCAACTGGGGATGGATGCCAGTTTTATATTTATGTTATTTCCTGGTAAATTCCTACTCCCAGAGGGAGATCCATTGCTGTTGTCATCACCTCTAACTTGTAAAATTAGCCCTGTGTATCTTAGTGGCAGTGAGATCCCAGCCCAAGCATTCACCAGAACCCTGGTCATCAGTATTTGGCAACGTTGCTTTTACAAATGGTCCCTTCATCAGGCAGTTTAGCTCTCGCTGCAGTCAGGCAGGTGCAGGATGAAAGGGGCAGGTAGAAGGAGAGACCGGGAAGGGAGGGAATGCCTTTCTTTGCCTCTTGAAATCCCACTTGAAGTGTAACTTGACCTCTGCAGACCTTGTGCAAAGCAAACAAGCAAATGCCATTGAAGACTTAGAACAATATTCCAATGAGCAGTTTGGACGTGATAGTTTTACTCTGCAACATCTGTTTTATTTTTCTCCTCTTTTCCCTGTTTTGTTTTCCAACTCTGCCTCAAAAAATTATTTTCTATTTTCTCTCTCTCAGAAGATTTGCTCTGAAATTATGCTTGGAGTAGCTGATCATATCCTCCATGTCAAAGAGGGTTCTTTTTGTTTGTATTTTATGACTGTGTTGGGTTTTTTTTTTCAGTTGAACTGCCTCTTCTTGCTAGTGTTGTAATGGTAATTATAATAATAATAATGGTCAGCTGTTCCCAGATTAGTAAATTATGTATAATTTATTTTACACCCCCCCCCTTTTTAACTTTATTTTATTCTGTTCTAATTTGGCAGTGCAGCAAATGAAGCTGTTAGGCTATTTAAAATGGATACCCCTCCCCACCTTGCCTTTTTATATATATATAAATATATATATATATACATATGAAAACAAATCGCTTCTTCTTCTGCTCACACCATTTCTCTTTCTTTTATTTTAATTTTGGCCCCAGCCATGTCAACTTCTGATGTTTATTATGATGGAGTGAATTAATGGGAGTGTTGTTTTCAATCTTAATTAACTTCTGCTCTCTCATCACTCATTTTAGTTATTTAATTACACCAGTCATCTAGAGCCAATTTTTTTAAGCACTCTGTTTGGATAAGAAGGAAAAAAAAATAGACAGTTGTTTTTATATCATTATTATGTACAATGTGAAAACAGATAATTGCTCCTTTTTTTTTTTTTTTTAACTTTTAAATTTGTTCCCTGTCTTTGTGAACAAATTACTTCTGACTCTTGTGGGTTCACCTCACATTTGCTGGATGCTTGATTTCCACCACGTTATAGAGACTCTCTATGGTTTAATTGTGTCACTTTTGGGCTACCAGAATACTTTGTTTTAGCTCCAGGTAGGTGCCACTGCGGCAGGTGCGATTGGAGCAGGGGGGCTGGAAAGCCAGCCTTGGGAAGGTCAATGGGAACAAGGCCCTTTGGCTTCGGCAGGACCGAGTTTCAGCCCCGAACTTCAGGCTGCGCTGCAGGAGCCGCTCCTGGAGGCAGCCCGGTGTCCGTGGGCAGCGTGGCTCCTGTGCTGGAGGAGCTGGGGCAGCAGGACCTTCTCCCGGAGCCCTCTGCTTTGCTCACCCCCTCGGCCTGGGCTGGGGCTCAGCTGAACGCCGATTTCCTCACCGTACACATTTCCATCCGAGAGACTACGCTGGGGTTCCCCCCCCAGGGTGGCTTTAGCAGACTCCACCTCTTGCTTTCTCGGGTGTTGAAAACCGATGCAGAAATGTTAAAAACAAAAGCAAAAAAAAAAAAAAAAAAAAAAAAAAAAAAAAAAAAAAGGCCAAAAGAGGAAAATGTTAAAAAGAAAAAAAAAAAAAGAAAAAAAGCCGCAAAACGGCTCTGGGGTTCCAAACCAGAAAAATACTTAAAGCCTGTGCTAATGTTTTCTTGGGTCCAAGGATGATCACCTGTGTGTCCTTCGGCAGTAGAAGACCAGATTTGAAAACGAGGCTCTGTTTGTCCCTTTTTAATTTCTTAGGGAAAACAAAACAAAACAAAACCCACAAAAAAACCAAACAAAGCAAAACATGCATTTATAAAAAGATCTTCTTGTCTTGTTTCTTTTTTTTTTTTTTTTTCCTGGGTTCTGTGCCCTGGAGCATGTAGAAAAACCAGGTTAGAAGAGATTAGGATCGTATTAACCTAAAAGCATCGAGGCCCTAAATGCCAAGGCGGGCTCTGTTCCCCTCTTCCCCTGGGAACCTGGAGAGCGAGGGTACTCCTGGGGAGCTGCCTGGGGTGGGGCATACAGGACACCCCCTTCTAACTGGGGGGGAGCCCCTTGCACCATGCATCTTGCGAGCTTACAAAAGAACACCGCCAGCAGTGGGGAAAGGGGGAAAAGAAAGAAGAAAAAAAAACTGAGGCACTTGCTTCTAAGCTCAATTAAATAACACAGAGTATATCCTTTTTCAATTTATTCATGCCTTATATTAGTAAAATAGGATTTTTAAGTGCATTTAACATCTTTATTTAACCGTTCCGCTATATTAATCAGGCCCCCAGAAAAGAACACTAGCTATTATTATAGCATTTAATTAGTTTTGTAACCAAATCCTCTTATTACGAATGCATATGGAAGAAATTCTTTCTTCGAAGACATTATTTCAAAGATTTGGTTACTGCAGTAGACTCTCTTTAATTAAATCATTTTTTAGAAAGTAAATTGTCTTTAACCTTTTTACAGCACATTTTCAGAGCTTTTTCTTTTTAATCCAAAGAGATGAGCTGTTATTGTCCCCGAAGAAGCCTCTGACATCACGTTCATAACATCAAAAATAATTATACTCCGTGGAAACATAGACCTTACTTAGCAAGAATTCATCTGCTAGAATGAATGGCAACTATATGGTATTTCTTATGTTTTAAGGGCATGATGTATCGGATAGGAAGTTTTTTTGTCTGCCCACTTCTCGGTAGAACCATACCTTCCATTTTGCAAAGAACTGTGCGTGATTCACTAGATGTGGATTCAAGTGTATCCTCAATTCACAGGGCATGGGCTGGCTGTTTAGCTTGGTTTATATTTACATTTTTTCAACTTTATCTTAACTTGTCAGTTTCCCAGATTGAAGAACATGTCAAGTTCGTTTTTTCTACTGACTGATTTCTCTACTCCCCAGTGTTTTTTGTCACTGGTTTGCTGAAACAGTATTTATATAGCTCCATTGGCTCTAAAGCTCTTACTCCTTCTAACGTTTTGGATTTTACATAAGAAATGAAAATAGAAAAGAAATAGAGACAATCAAATGCCTGGAGCTTAAAACAAAGTATGTGCAACCTACCATCTCACTTGAAATTTAATAAAAGAAATAATTATGTAAATATAACATAGAGTTATAGATTTATATTTTGTTCATAACACATAGTGTAATATAAGTTGTATATTTTCATGTTTTGGTTTTATGTTATCATTCATGCCACAATA